TTTCCATTGTTATTTAGGACCGCGATTGATCAGTCTCATTTTGGGAAGATACAAGTAAAACAACACCAAATGAATTTAAACTTCATCCTATCGCGCAAGCAGGTGGCTATTAGGAGTTAGTAGGCAAGTAGATAACGAGATGGCGTTTGAAGCGAACGGTGATGGGTTTGAGTCCCGGAGTGAACATCAACTTAGTGATGCAGGTACATCCAACTGATGAGTCTCAAATAGAATGAGACGCGCGTCCTGGATTCTACTGCCAGCCACTATCCATCTTTGCATAAAATCATTTGATACTGATAAGTAAACATTGAAAGTTTTACATCTTATGAGAAAACGATTCTGGTTGGTTTAATCAACGTTTTTAATATTTTGATTCATAATCCTATGACATCTTTGTCAAAACTTGACCATTATCCGAGCTCCAAATCTTCATCTTCAATCGTATAACCTAAAATTGTACTTAATCAATACTGTCTTTAAATATCTTACATCAATGTGATAAATTAATCTCTTCAACACATGCTGGGAATTCACCTAAATTCCCAATTATGTTGTTAAATATTTGTTAACTATTATCCAACAAAAAAAATATTTCCCCATATATACATATTGTATAGTTCTTCCTTAATTAAATAACTATCCATCCGCATAAGATACGTATACAATGATTGTAATATTCAGTAGGAAAAATTTATAGATATGTACTGCAATTAAATGTTTGTTTATATATAATCAACCTTAATTAATTAAATAAGATAATTTTTGGCAAGCTACTAGATGCATCCTAAACTATATTAATCTACTTAATTTTTACATGACCTAAAATGACTAGAATGTATATGATAAATATTTATGTTTCAGGATTATTATTATTATTATTATTATTATTATTATTATTATTATTCAACAATTATGTAATAACAAGCCATATGTGTGTCTGATCATATTATATGCAATGACGTCAATATGTATTTTTGGAACTGAAACTGAAAGTTAGAAACAAGATATTATTAGACAAAGATACAGGAATTTCCCAACAAAAGAATCAGTTTTTGATTGAGGTGATTAATCGATTGATGTTAGAAACCTGGAAGTGTTGGACGGTCATCTCGTCCTAGTATGGGACTCTTCAATAGTGCACATCCACGATCTCATATTCGGGACTCGAACCAAAGATCTAGCTTATATCGACTTATTGTTATTATTATTATTATTAGCTTTATTCAATATTATATTTTTGGTACAATATAGAATTCTCAGAGTAAAGTATTTCAACAAGTTTCCGTTTCTTTCTTCTTGGTCGGTCCTGGCGATAAATATTTAGTGATCGCCAGCTAGATGTTAGCAGTTCAGTAAATGAACATCTGAATAATGTGCATTCTTTTCGCTGTATATTGCCAGCAACCACATTGGCTCTTATTGAGTTTTTTGTAACTTTGACAACGAAAGGTTGTACACTTTTCAGAAACGCAGCAGAATAGATCATGAGATCAATAAACATAATGATATATTAAAACAAACAAAAATAGATAACTTGTTGAAATATGTAGATGGAAGGAACAGGTAGCCTAGATGCTCAAGCAGGCCGCCCTTGTTGTGCAAGTTCAACTATTAAAATCACTACAATTTCCACAAATCTCCATTCTAATAATAAGCATTCATTTGTATTGAAACTTGAAACAGTCATAATACGAATTAGTTTATAATTTATGATATTGTTTTTATCAACTATGTCAAAATCTTTAGACTAGACATTCTATGCTTCTTATTAAATGATATTTATTTATAATGAACACATTAAACAGCTTTTTCTTATAAAGATCCTTTCCTTTCACTTGTCATAAAAGAAGACACATGATATTAATCTTTAGATTCTGGTTTTTATAAGTGTATACAGTTTGTATAGATAGCTTCACCACAAAAAAATTGGGAAATATCCTATAATGATTCATTGATCAGCATAGTTCTTCCTCCTATCTTTACTTTCATATATATATATATATATATAATATTATGAACAAATGAGGTAGGAACATGTAAACATTGTTTAAATGTTATCAGAGAACACCCAACCAGTTATCAAGGAAATAAATTGTCTATCAAAATGTATCCAAAAAAATAGTATGGTTTTAAAGTGAATATGCCTTAAATACGTGAAAGATAAAGGGCAAAAAAAGAAGAGGATTATTGATCAGATAATAAGTCATTTACATATAAACGGGAAATCTGTGTAATTATTGTTGTCTATAAATACAGCCTTAAACGTACAAAATAGTGGAAGTAATCTAAGAAAGTCAATAGAAAGGATAATAATCAATGATAAAAGTTTTATCACATTTAATCGACTAGATGCATAAAATGACATATTTGGATTGTGTTTAATATAAGAATCCAAAGAGTGAGTTTCATCCTACTTAGGATTCCTTGGATGGATAAGTCTTTATCCTGGTGTTGTTGTTCACATTAGGACTCGGGCCTAGTATGTGTTTATTTGAAATATGAATACTTAATGCATTAATCTACTGAATCTAGATAGCCGAAAATATGTTCACCGTGGATGAAGTCATATGTTATGGTTTATATTTTACTCGTTGTTCCTACTAAAGACTCCAGATAGTTAGTATGAATAAAATACAAGCATTTGAAGCTATGGTGATTAGATTCAAGTCTCGGTGTGGACGTCACCAGGATTTAGAAAAATCCAACTCATAGGTCCCAAGTGAGACGAAACGAGAATCCTAGATTCTATCAATAGCTACACTCTAAATTTATAGGAACTTACAAGTCAGTAGCATTATGGATTTAATTTACTCAAAAATCACATAGCCCTGTAGAGATTGGTTGGGATCTAATTCTTAATATAAACAAAGAGAATATCCAAATCCTAGCCGACAAAATATCTTATTGCTATTGTAACACATCAAAAGCTTTGCTAGAATCATTCAATGAATAAAGGGATTTAAATAATATTCTGATGTACAATAATGAATGTGTAGTATGGCGTCGAGTTGCGGTTGACTATGATCACAACTACAGGAAGACTACGTGCCAGTTAACCGATAAGATCCCCCATAGGCCAAATATCAGAAGGCAGTTGGTAGCTGTAGTCGAGATGTGTTTGTTGGCGATCTCGTGGTATCGAAAGAACACCGAGATCGTGCCAGGTTACAAGTATAGTTACTGAGCGTAACCGAATTCGTGCAAGGCCACAATCAGCGGAAAAAATGTATGTGTTTTGGTACAGTTAAACAAACAAGTACGGTAAAACAATTGGTTATAATAATAATTGTTTCCAATACACCAATCGCGTTCTCTTGATAAAAGTAGGTCGCTACAAATGTCTCGTCTATGTGATGGCAGTATAAATCTAGATTATCGATAACCTCATTGAGGGGGTCATTTTCTAGTTAGCTAAGAAGAAATCAAAGGAAGACTCAACTTATGATCATAAGACTAAACCTCCGAAATTCTAACAAAATAGAAAATAGAACCATTACTCAATTGATGATATTGATTGAGTACATAGATATATAATTAGGGACTTGAAACTAATATTTATAATCATATATCCAATCAAAGTATGCAAATTATAAACCACTTGTCAACAATCAAGTAAATGATCAAAGATTTAAAAAATAAACATTCTAAGCATAGTTGGACAGTGCTTAGCAATGAAAGTCGAGATGAGCATTTCGTCTTATTTTGAACAAGTCATTTGGATGCACTTGCGTCATAGTATAGATGTTCACATTGGGACTCGAACGCTCCACCTTTTATTTCAGGTCTTTAGTGCGTTATCCACTTAACTACTGAGTCTGGTCACTATCAAAATGTCTTTGATACAGTGGCAATATCGAAGGAATCTGAACAAGATACACATACGCCAAAGTGACCGTTTGATTGTATTCTACAATATCTATGGAAGGGTTTAAGCAACCAGTACAAAAATAGATTAGAAAGACTGAAGTCTATATTAAATATGATTTGTAGTTAAAATTAAAATAATTACACCTTTAAAAAAGTCCCAATATAAAGGAATGAGTGGTAGGAATATTTAAGCTTAATATAATTCACGTAGCTCAATCTTAACCATCGATACCCTTATTGAATATGTGTAGGTAATAACTTATATAATTATGATGTTTATAAAATAATCATGGGATGAGATTAGCAGTAATGTTTTGAATGCTCACTAGGTATACCTTACTTCATCAATTTTGAATCCATTTAGTTGATGGACGCTGTAAATCAAGATTTCGTTTATATGATGTATTTCATACCATGTTTTTACTATTAATACAATTATGTTTCTCATCAAAGTAAACTGAATTTGTGTATAATCGAGTAAAATCATTAGGAAAAACTAAACTTCAATGTATAGCAATTACCCACTAAATGAACAAGCGAATAACGAAAAGTATTGAAAAAGAAACATTTCATGAAAATTTAAAACTTTACAGATAACCTCTAGTTAATGACCTCATATTTCAGGTATTTAATCATTGACAAAGTAGTTTTAAAATAGAAGAGATTACCAAACAATGACACAAAAATAATGATACTTATTCATAAATCCAACTGATATATCTGCTGAACTAATCTCAGTTGTTATCTAATGTCTCAGTAGTTCATACTAATGGTTACTGTGATATGATATTGTAAAAATGATTTTAGTTGTAAAGCGAAAAAAAATAATGCACAGTGTATTCACAACTAATTTGCCTGAAACGTTTTAAATAATCAGCAAATTTGGCTAAACTGTATCATTTTTGTCTCAGTTCTACTACTCCCTAATAACATTTTCCAGTATTCAGTTATTAAATGATCAAATCAGGTATAAAAATATCAACATGAGGGGTTAATATAGAACGAGTCGAGTTATGTAAATATTCAGCTTGCAGCGAACCTTGATCGTTTGATAAAGGGATACTTTTTATCCATAAAATTATTGCTAGATTTTAGCCTAACATAATAATGTTTTTTTTCTTTCTTTGTAGTTCATCATGATGAGGCTGGGGCTAATGTTAAATCATCTTCACCAAAACAATGTGAAGATCTTTTAGCTGAAAATCTACCAAGAATTGATACAGCTCGTTTAGCGAATGATCCATTTTTAGGTACAGTAGCTGGTCGATTAGCTCAAGAAATACATGATGAATTTCTTGTTTGTAAAATATGCTTCGATAGTTATACAAATCCAAAATGTCTTGCGTGTTTGCATACATTCTGTGCAAAATGTATTGAAAAGCATATATCAGCTGAAGTTACTTATAATAAGTATACAGATTATCGCGATTTCACTTGCCCATTATGTCGAAAACGTACACAACTTCCATTAGGTGGTGTTAAACGATTACCAGATAATTTTCTAATTTCTGGTCTAACTGATTTAGTACTACGACAAAGAGCATCATCGAATGGTTCATCAACAGCTACAATTATTGGTAGTCCGACTACTTGTAGAATTAACAATAGAATAGAAAATAGTAGACAAGTATCAACCACTGTTAACGAAAGTATTGATTCATTACATCAGTTACCAAATTTGGAAAGGAAGCAATTACGTTATGGAGAATGTGAAATTTGTTCACAAGTAAGTCGAATTGATAGAGGACATTCAAGTGAACCATTGAATAAAACAAATTCATCAGAAATCAATAGCCTAACTAATACTAATGACAATTATAACGGTAGTAGTCAACAACGCGCTAGTTCAGCTTGTTTAAATATTTCACCAAAAGCAACATCGAAATGTTTAGATTGTAATAAACTTCTATGTGATGAATGTGTTCAACGACATAGAAATACTAAAGTTACTAAAGATCATGCGACATTTGAGTTACAATCACATAGTGATATTGAATGTAAAGATCATCCAGGTGAAACTGTACGATTTTATTGTGAAGCTTGTTCAATGTGTATATGTGTTCTATGCACATTTAATGCACATCGTGAACATGAAGTAACAAGTTTCGGTGAAGCTGTTGCAAAATTACGACATGAAATAAGTAGAAATTTAGATACTACATGTCAACGCATTGGAAAAGTTCAATCTCAGTTACATAACGTCCGAGATGCTGCTAATATTATACATAGAATTGAACAAAGAATTCATGATACTGCAGAACATTTCATGGAAGAAGTAAGTCAGTACACAATTTTAAATATCATCATTGTTTGGTAATACTATAATGCTTCCTTTGTGAACAAATGTTTTTAAAGTATGGTCGAAATACCCCATAGTTCCAGTAATCACAAGCGAGAGAAAACGAGTCAGCTGGAACACTACTCTATTTATTCCTGATTTCTGATTCAGATGAGTGCAAGGAAATGCATGAATAGTTAGATGAATAACACGACCACAACGTACAAGCAATTAGGAAAGTACACTTATGTCCAAACCAGGCATTAGGGTAGAAAAAAGAAGTATAAACGACTACTTTTAAATTACAATAGCTTTGTAATAAAAAAGGATATGGTTATGAATCATGAATCAAAAGAAAGCTCAGTGTTTATAGAATAACCTAGGGACGTTGAATTAAATGAATTGATGTCCACAAAAATAGCTTCCTTTGTTCATCATGGCTTCTCTACTTCTCTGTTCACATCAGCTGTAACATAATCAAGTGATTTATAGTTTTCATTTTTGTGTCACCTCACTAGCTATTTTGTTGAGTTTTCTTGTCTGAATCCCCAATGAACTGAATTGAATTCGAAGGTGTGGTGGATCCCAGCAAAAGAGTTTATTCAAGATATATCGATACGCAAGGTTATTAATAATATACCAAAAGAGTTAACAGTAAAACCCTAGGTGTCTGTCTTTGAGTAAAACCAAAAGTTAACAAATTACAGTTAGAATACAAATAATATATTAAACAACAAGATAATAACAGTTATTATGACATGAATGTTACTTGTAAGCCGCTCTCTGAGATAACAACCACAAATGAGTTCACTTGGTTAACGAAGATTCCTCTGCACGTGTTGTACCAATGGCGTAATGTGAAAGATTGAATCCAATAGTATTATTTAATAATAATCCGGGCCAAAATCCAACATAGTGTAGGAAGGCATAAAAGGACGTTATAACACTATTATAGTCTTCAATCAAAGAACATGGACAATAAAGCAGAAGAACAGACGGTGGAGATAACATTTTTTTTAACCAAGGCGGTAGAATATTCATATATGTATCCAAACAATTATCATCGTTTTTTAACAAGTGATACAAAAAAACTATAGATTTTGAATAAAAATGTGGTTACCTATAAAGTGTGACAAATTAGAGAAAAAATGCGGTTTTTATTTTGTCGTTGCAAAAATCACTGAATATACGTCCCCATAAAGGTCAAGTGGGTAGTGATAAGTCAATTCAAGTTAATTTAACGTAACGAATTAATATTCTGATAACAATTAAAACAGAAAAAGGCTTTTTTTAAACTGGAAGACTTTAGTAAGCAGTTTAGTTTTCTATAACTAATGTAAGATTTTAATGGCATTTAGTTTTTGTGTTACAGTTCTTATATGATGAAACACGAATTAATATACTTCATAAAAGTTTGTAGATAGAAAACCTTAACAAAATTGAATTAAATACAATATTATTGATTTTGGATGAATCTTTGTTTACACTTAAGTCGATGTAAACTGAAGAAATATCTCGATCCTAAGTGTCGAGTACATAACACGTTAATTAACAAAACTTGACTGGTATCATTCATGAATTAGGAGAGAAAAATCAAATAAACTAATTCCATTTTTCTACAATACCAAATATGTATTTTCAAGTTAAACTTATCTTTATATACAACAACTGAATGCCATCTCATATAGAGCTTCATTAAAAAGAATGATAGTTGAAAGAAATGGTCAAAATATCCACCTTTAAAATGCCAACTGTATCAACTGTATATTAATGATTCATTTCTTTGAAATTATTTTGTTCTATTTGTAGAATTCCAATGTAATTTGGTTGATTTCAAGTAAAATTTAGTGCATATTGTTACAATAAACTAGATTAGTTAAATTTTTGTCGAAGGATTATGGCTAGAAATACATTTGCTTACTACTCTCTTTTTATCTTGACTGAAGTACTAAAGACACAAATTTAACTAGAAAATTACTACTGGTATTGAACTTGGTGTAAGCTAATATCTACCATAACTATGTTCACAATTCCATAGAATCTTGTCAATAACATACCTAGATGATAAACTATTCTTTAACCACTCAGTACTGTATGCTTGAAGAACTTTATAAAAATTAACACAACATGTGGAATATTATTGTCTGAATGTCTCAAATACTTCCATTGAATGAATTTACGGATAATTATAAATATAAAAGACTTAAAAACTAGTTTTCTGTTTTTTCAGTTGCCAGTGCTTATTTGTTTGAAAGGAGACTGTAGTTCTTCTGTCATTCAACTTCCCTATGTTATGAGGGGACGAATATTGTAGAAGTTGGGACTGGTCTTTTCAAATTACTAATAATTATAATTTTGTCTTGCAGCAACTCGGTAACTAGATTACTATGTATATGTATTCCATTTATCGGAAGCTTTTAGTTGATGCATAAGCTACGGTCACACATTTTATTAACCCTTATTTTGATCTTAGTCTCTTACTTACTGTCTCCACTTTAGGCTTGTTTATGTATAGCTGTTATTTTTCATTTAGTCGTGTCTGTATACAAACCACGTCTATAAAAATATAGGTTTAGTGGAGGCTGGTTGCTGCTCTTAGGGCTCTTGGGCAAGGCATAGAGAGAAGCTTGTAACTAGTGGACCAATAGAAACTTAGCTGTTGACTCAAATTTAATGGTTTTCTGATGTATAATCAGCCGAATCAGAGACAGTAAGCTATGGAGTAAATACCAGACTCAAAGTTGACCAAATTAGGATTAGGATTCTGACTGATGGCTTGTCACGACCTAACATCCTAAACATCATATTTTCCATCCCACGGTTCCACACTGTTTAAGGGTCTCATACTAGAACGAAACGTTTATCCAATGCTCAGATCTTCGACGGAACCCCTAATTAATATAAGTCCATAGACGAAACCAATTCAAACACGAATTTCGACCGAATTATGTTGATTTATATTTTCTGTTGATCCAAGTTTAGATGACTATTTCTTTAATTCACTATCACCTTACGATGAATAATTATGGTTACCACAAATTGCACGTTTTTACAAAATGAAGAGTTGAAACTTCTGATCTTTACCATACAATTCATCAAATCAATGTGTTTCTTACCCTTCTGTATAAAGCATTGATGTATTCTATATCATATTTAGCTGCCTGCACAAAAAAACGACCATTCTATTTGTTTGTTGACTACAATACAATCATTGACATACATTCACTATACTTCACTTGTATGCATGGACGGTAAAACTGTCTATTGAATGTCATATATGCACAGCATGTTTCTAACTTACAATAAACACTTTAAAGTATTATTATTGTTGTTGTTTATTCGAATTAATTTTGATGGAAATTGTTTAACATAATTCATTCAGACCGAAAAGATTGAACTCTAGTTTGTTTATAAATACTTAGTTCTTAGTCATCCTTGTATATAATTAGTGTTAAGATTAAGCGGTAACATCAATAATGTCGCCAGTTACTTTCTTCTTTGCATAATCTTGGTATCCAGTCAAATTAACTTATTCAATCAATGAAATTATATTCGATTCCTAAGAAACTGATTGATTAACGCATTAATTAAATAAAGTTTAGATAGTAATATGATGAAGATAATATGATTCACTTATATATGAATTGATGTTTATATTCTGATTAGTTATCTAAGAATTTCATTATTAAAGTCACTATTACTGAATTATTAGACATGTATATTATTTACACCAATATTGATTATTAGGTAACAATCAGTAATAGATCTAGTTTTTAGTGCTAATCGATTATTGGTATTCAAGAATGCAATGAAGACTTGCTGCATACTTTGTTTATCTAATTCTTCAACACAGTGACAACATTGTACATTTAGTCAACGGAATTCGACTAACATTAGGAACTAGACAAAGTGACTTTTATGATCTTCAACATCATTTTTTTTGGAAACCAATAGTTATCTGAGTTTAAAATTGGCGAAAGACAATAGGTGTTAATAACTCAGAATTTAATGTAAATGCTTCATCTTATCAACTGTTATGTTGATGATGAACAAGTTTGAATATACAGCCATCATGTTTGCAATAATAACATTTTGAGTTCATGTAACTTACTGAACAACATGATCACAGTTAATAAATAACTGATATTCCCTGCTTGCTGTTCAGTCTTACAGAAATCAGTTATGGATTAAAAATCTCAATGATAATGCTTCTTAATAGGGCACTAGATGACATTGTTCTGGGTCTTTGTAAAAGTCAGTTTTTTTATAGGCTGTAAATATCCCATAGTATTGAGTAACATAATATTTAGAATCATGCTGAATATATTTTTTTCCTACATTTTCTAACCGTTCAGCGACAGGACACAATTCAAATCATTTATCTAAGCGATGAAGTGGTGTGATGAGTTCAAAATGCATTAAAACTTATTCATGATGAAAGTTGACGTCAAATCACAGGATCAAAAAAAAACTGAACCAATGACGATTGTATTTTTAAAGATAGTGGCCCGAATAACTCAGAGGTATATTTTCAGATTGTGAAACTTAATGAAGTGGAACGTAATTCTACGTGATCCATCAGTTACCTCAAGACTACAGTCACATCGTGTTAACGTGTACTAGCTATAACGAAACGTAGGTCGAAAAAAATTCCCTACAGGTTACCTCAAAACCCTTAATATGTCGAAATAGTACACTTAATATAGAGTCCATTAGACTAATAATTGCCTTACAACATGATATGTACAATCTAATCACTACTAAAAGGCTAGATAAACACGATACTGGATAAAATTCATTGATCAGCTCATACCAAAACATCAGATATACATGCAGAGAGAGAGAGAGAGAATGGTGAATATAATTCCAAGAATATACCATAATTTACTTATTACATTTAATTAATTATTATTGGAAATCAGAAATTAGACTTTAACAAGACCAATGCATTAACAAAGATTATTTTATAAGCAAAGATGGATGTTGGCTAGCAATGG